TTGTGAATGTCAATATAAAAGTTTAGGTGTAAGATATGTAAATTCATAAGTGTGCAGTACCTATGTAAACTTCCCAAATCTCAAAACATTCAATCTGTGACTAACCTTAACATGACCAAGTTGGGTGACTTGAACGCCAGAGTTGGGAATCGGAATGGGCCGACCGGCTTTCAGACGGTGAAAGAACCACTCTTCTACTGGATTGTAGTTCAATGGCCCATATATGTAGACAGGCCTCAGAGAAGTCCAATTCACTCCCTTTGAATCCAATAGATTCTCTGTCTCAAGCTTCCCCTTGTGCCTGCTCTTTGGATCAACTGCATCAAACTAATTATAACCCAAAAATGCCAAGCATGTTTAGTATCTAAAGAAGGGGACATTTACATATATGCACAACACCATTCTTATGTAATTACATATCTAACACACAAACTTTCGTATTTACATACATAGCACTCTAATCTTTAATATCACATAAAAATAATCACAACTAATAACCTTTTAAAAGTGAAGTACACCTTTCATGCATAGGTTCAGGACACCAAAGTGTTATAAATGTAAATAACAAAAGTTTTCGTGTAAATACAAACAATTTGTGTGGTATCTATGCAAATTTTCTTAAAAGAAGGGGCATTTACAGACATACCACACAATTCTTATGTATTTACTTGTCTAAAATCTAAACTTTCACATTTACATACCTAACGTTCTAGTCTTTAATGCGTTTTTAAAAGTGAAGTGCACTTTTCATGCATAGGTTCATGACACCAAATGTTATAATGTAAATATCAAACTTTAGGTGTTAGATATGTAAATACAAAGGAATTGTGTGGTATGCATGCAAATTTCCCAAAAAGAAGGGGCATTTACATACACACAATTCTTATTCCTTTACATATATAAAATCTAAACTTTCATATTTACATACAAAACGCTCTAGTTTTTAATGTTTTTTAAAAGTGAAGTACACTTCTCATACATAGGTTCATGGCACATCGGTTCATGGAACAACATGTTATAAATGTAAATATCAAACTTTGGGTGTTAGATATGTAAATTTCCCTCCGTAAATTTCCCTCAAAAAAAAAAAAAGTTTAATGAATTTTGAATTTCAAAGTGAAGAAATTAATACCTCAAAGTGAGGCAACAGATCTGATTTGAGATATACTCCAGCTGATGAGCAGTATATGTACCTGCAAATTCATCTTCTAATTATATGGCAGACTAGACAGGTCACTTTTGTTAGTTATATGGGGCTCATTTGGATGGGTAATGTTAGAATTCATGTTTTGAAAAAGATGAGTAGGGTATTAGATTCCATCATTACGTTGCCTGTAATTACAAATTAGGAAGATTTACATACATACCCCTAAAGTTTTATGTATTTGCATATCATACAAATAAACTATAATTTTTACATACATACCCCAAAACATATTTTTCATCTGCAAAGATCCAAATGAGTTCATAGATGAATGGTTTTCTAAATAAAAAAGAGTGCTGAGACCAATATTGTCAGATTTAAAATTACAGAAATTAAGATCTCATATTTCACTATTTAGAAAGATGCAAAAACTAAATAGTCAAGGAAAATCTGAAAAGTACTAAACATAACAAGAGGCATTTACATTAGAAAATGTACTCATATATAAGTAAGGGGAATTGACATACATACCAACCAATTCCTATGTATTTACATATCTAACACCTAAAGCTTACGTCATTTGTGTTGCCCAAATCTTTCATATCACATCAGAAATACCACCATTTTAATTTTTAAGAAGTGAAATACACCTTTCCATGCATAGTTAAGATGGCACGCATGTAGAAATTGAAGTTTATGTGTTAAATATGTAAATACATAGGAATTGAGCGGTATGTATGTAAATCTTCCTATAAAAAATGCATGGCCATAACAACAAGCACATTAATTATAGAACCAATTAAACATTGTTCTCGAAGATGGAGTAAGAAAATTACATGTAAGAAAATCAGCTCATGCAAAATAAAATTTCAACGTCAGCTCAAAAGCTAGAAGTTTTGGGAAAGAATAAAAAAGCAATTTTATAAAATTCAGAGCACCTATAGTTAAAAAGACATCATAACTTCAAAAAGGCAATTTGGCAAACAGATTCATCAAATCCAACATAATCAACAAAATTATTGGACATTATAAATGATGGAAAAGAATCGCAAGTAAAATAATGAAGAAACAGCATTGTGATTGCAAATCAAATGAGAATATCTACAACAATATTCTCTTTGAATTTATTTGCAATCTTTACAAATCTTTGCAGCTTTTTTTCAGGGTTTAGGGTTTGGGGCAATTACATACAGCACCCGAAACATTCTTATTTGCAAATGTGGCACCATCTTTCATCCATTTTTTAAATTCTCGCTCATATATAAAAATTCATGATAAAATCCAACTCATATTTTCAATTTTATCAAATTCTCAATAATAGGAATGTGACCGGCATGCGTAAATACATTGATTTGGTAGTTCAAAATATCACCTTGACGCTAGATTTTGTAAATAGCCATGTTTTCAGTGTTATGTATGTAATTATCCTTTTTTTTATTAATCTATTAAAAAGGGAACTTACTGTTCTAAGTTTGGCAAGGCATCTAAAATAGGTTCCGCCTCGATGGCTTCACGCCCTGAATGAGAATTATTTGAAAAATAAAAAATATTAGATCAATATGTTCAGGAAAGCTTATTCATTTTCATTCCTCTACATAATAAAATTACAAATCATGCTTCCTACTCTGAACTCACAATATAAGTACAAACGGCTTTCGAGTGAGAGGGGAGGTCACCATTAATGTCGTAAACAACTTCAAATCCCTCGGTTGCAAGACTGGACTTTACAAACTCAGAGTCTTTCCTATCTCCTTTCAAATGCAAGATCTACAAGATTTCATACAATATAATTGGTTTATTATAAAATATTTACAAAAATAAGGAATTTCGGCTTAAGTTTAAATAAGGATGGTCGCATTGCTTAATCATGCAATATAATTATGGAAGATTTTGATATGAAACTCCATAAAAATTAGGGAAAAAACAAATTATTTTTCTTCCATAACACAAACAACAAAACTGGGCATAAAGAAAAGCATCTATAATATGAGACAAGTGTCGGCAGTCAAAAGGCCCTCCAATCCCGGTAGGTTACAGCAGCTCCGCCACCTTCAACTTGGCCGACCTGATATTATATTATGAGAAGTTAGAAGCTTCGACAGATGAGGTTGAAGCTCCACCAACCTCGATAGATTGATGCAAGGCAGGGGGGGGACGTGATGCGGGGCAGGGAGGGGATGCAAAATGGTCCGATCCAGGTGGGGGAGGGCTGGTCGGCCATCTCTCTAGAGCTAGGGTTGTCGCCCACTCTACTTATTTTTATTAGGTTTAGGTATTTTGTTTGATTATAAATATATATTTGTTTATTGTATCTTTTGTTCATTTAAGTTTTGTGATGGCATATGGTTCCTTTGTGATTCTCGAATGGGGATGAGTTTGTATCGATAGCGTTGGGTGGTGACAATTGTATCCCTTTGTTGTTAATGATAGTATCCCGAGTCTTCTTCCTTCATCAATCTTTCGAGTGATTTATGTATTCCGATCGGTTGCGAAAGTATAAAACTCTTGCATCTAGTATTTTTTTATTTGATTTCATCTCATCTTTGTTCTAGTTATTTATTTTCCTTTCTCGAATTGCTTTATCAGTTGTTACTGTTGAAGCTTCTCCAACCACCCCCCTGGTGTCATTTAAATTATGGGGCATTTACATACATACCACCCGTTTCGTATGTATTGACATATCTAACACCTAAACTTTGCTTTTTTTACATCTATACCACCCAAATCTTTCATATCAAATCAAGAATACCATCATATTAACTTTTAAAGAATGAAATACATCATTTCATGCATAGGCAGCGACGTATGTATGTAAAAAATTAAAGTTTAGGTTTTTGATAGATACATAGAAAGTGAGTGGAAGGTATGTAATTCGTCCTTACATTGTTTACTAAAACCTATTTGTAGTTGTAGCCAAACAAACCTTCATCATTTTTGCATTGATAAAGTTTTCACCAATCTAATATGGGACTAAACTCAATAATCTCAAATGCTTTAACACGCACAACAAACGAAACTATGTAAAATCAATAAATATTGAATATTATTGCTTTACCTTGGACTTGAACTCTTCATACTCATGATCTAATTCTCCGGGCAACTGCTGGGTAATAGGTGCCTTGCCTCTAGTAAATAAGGTCACCTACCAACTCAAATACACATGCATGAAAACTCCATCAAAATACAATTACAACATTCATTTCAAAAAAACAAAACTTTTAACATAAATTTTATGGCCATTTGCATACATACCACCCAATTCTTACATATTTACAAATCTAAAGCCTAAAATTTTCTTTTTACATTTATACCACCCAAACATTTCATATTACAGCAATAATAGCTGCATAAGTAGGGTGACATATATGTAAAAATTA